AAAAAAAGTAATAAAGTTTTTTAAATTACTGTTTTTCTTTTATGAAACTACACTTGAGTGCAGTGTTTTGCATCTATGGAAGCTGTGACTTTGAAGGCAGTCAATTTTAGGTCTTGTTCAAAGATGAAAGCACAAACTGAACAATCCTACTTTTCAAGTAGGTTTATCACTTAGCTTTTGTGAAAGAAGTAAACTGGTTTCGCTGTGACCTTTATTCTTAAGCAGGGATGCCCCTACCACCACCCCATGTTCTAAGAAGCCTAGTTCTTCTTTACCCTAAAGCCACGTCGACAGTCCCCCCTCTCAATTCTTGTTGGGGTCAAGTTGAATTAGCCCCTAAATTGGAGCCCCTGAATCTGTTCTTTGCAAACAATACTAATACCACTAGGTTAGATATGCACTGCCTAAGTTTTTACTGATGAGAACTATCCATCTATAGGAAATCACCTTGACAAAGCAGCCTGGTTTGATCAGTCGTTTTGCTTAAGTAGTGAGTGTATGCAAAGTAGAGTAGATCCCTTGCTGAGCCCACTTTTGCACCTGGGATACATATTTGTGTTTACAAGCTATTGGACAGAAGGCCCTGTACATACAGATGTTACCCTGTGATACACTTTTGTGTTTACAAGCTATTGGACAGAAGTCCCTGTGCATACATATGTTACCCTGTGATACACATTTGTGTTTATACACTATTGGACAGAAAGGCTCCGTACATACAGATGTTATTCTGAAGCAATATTTGTGAAACATGCAAACTTCTGTAACTGGAAAAAATAAAATAGGTTTTTGTTTTAAAAATTAAGTACCATAAGAATCAGTCAGTTTTTATGCTGTTGTGTTTTTTTTTTTAACATTAAAAAGCTATAATCAAGTAGATGTTATGCTATGTCAGAAAGAAAATAAGGTGGTTTGGGAAAAACTGAAGATCTAGGTTGACTTGTTCAAGCTCTGTCTTTACCTCACAAATAAGTGTCCCATTTAACATGAACACATACAGAGGGTGTGAGAAAGGAAAACTGTTAAATTCACTCAGCCATGGGTGCATGCTCACACCAGACCTTTATAGGACATGTGGTTGCCCATATGTCCTTCCCACCATGGCTCTGAAAGCCCTTGACACAGTGGCTTCAGTAGCTGTTAGAACTCTGAGTAATGGACAATATTTGGTGGGGTGATAGGAGCTACCTCCAGAGCACAGGGCTCTCATTGTCTTGCTTTAATAGCCATTCACCAGAAAATCCAACCACAATATTGATGGAGCAATTGGCTTTTGTTATTTCACCTTTTTTAAAAAAATCAGGGCTGGCAAGATGCCTCAGTAAGCAAAGGTGCATGCTACCAACTCTGATGACTTGAATTCAATCCCTAAGACTACATGGTAGGAGAGAATCAGATCTTGCAACTTGACTTGCACGCACACAGGGGACCTGAATAGAATTATTTTAATGTAATAACAAATTAGGCTGACAAATCAGCTCCATCTATAATCCAGCATTCAGGAGGCTGAGGCAGGATTGCTGAGTGTGAAATCAGCCTAGGCTATAGTGTAAGAATCTCTTAAACACGGAAACAACAAAGAACCTGGAAAAAAAAATCTATCCAGTTGCAGAGAGGGAGGAGTGATGAGCAAAGGGGTCAAGGCCAGGCTGGAGAAACCCACAGAAACTGCTGATCTGAACAAGGGGGAGCTCATGGGAAACCAGCATAGGACCAACCCAAACCCCCTTGAATGTGGTGTAAGTTGAGAAGACCGGGCATTCTTTGGGGCCTCTTATAGTGGATCAGTATTTATCCCAAGTATATGAATGGACTTTGGGAGCCCATCCCACATAGAGGGATACTCTCTTCAGCCTAGACACACGGGGGAGGGCCTAGGCTCCAAATGATATGACAGACTCCCCATGGAAGATATCACCCTCCCAGTGGAGCAGAAAGGAGATGGGATGAGGGTTAGGGGGGGAGGCAGGGGACAATGGAAGGGTTTGGGAACTGGGATTGATATTTAAAATAAGCTTGTTTCAAATTTTAAAAATTATCAAGAAAAAGATAATTAAGCTGGGGAGCAGAAAGGGGATGGGATATGAGGTTGGTGGGGGCAAGAGAGGGAGAGGTAAGTTGGATTGACATGTAAAAAAATATAAAAGCTTGTTTCTAATTGAAATTTAAAAAAAGAAAAAAAAATCTATCCTCCTGCCTCAGAATGATTTTGTGAGTGTGCAAACATGTCCGTTCACCCATGATGTTATTGAAAACGATCACTAAATCACTATCTTCTCCCAATTGACACACACAGCAGAAGAGGAACATACCCACACATTGGTAAAATATATTTTATTTGTTCATACAAAGAAAAAGTATGAATCACCAGAATTTCATTTGCCTAGAAACATCTTTCTCTGTGTAAAATTAATTTTTGTTATACATAGAACAAAATACTTGATTTAATTTTTTTTGTACATATTGGCTATTCTACCGTTCACGTTATAGAAGACAAATTGCTAGGACTTGCACAGCATTTTTGATTACTGGGCTAAATGAAACTCAGTCATAAATTAATGTTATAAAAATGAAAAAAAAACTAACCACACCTTCAAAACTCATTAACCATTCTTTCTGGAAAACTGAAAATCTTAGATACTTGCTAATGTGATTCTGGAGCCTTCCAATTTCCTTTCTTAGGAAGACAGTCAGGTAGGACCAGCAACTGGGCTTCCCCCATGGGATGAAGTGCATCTATCTGTCACTTAAAATGACTTCCAAAGAGTCCTCTCCCCCCAAGAACATCCTCCAACATCCAATGAAGAGTTTATGTCACAGTCATTCTGCCTGAAATACCTCTGTGGGTACTACAGAGTAAGTGAACACACCTGTGTGCAAACATCTCCCAAAGAAGGCTTTCCATAGACAGGAATGATAATAATGACAATAACAAAATCTTTAAGTTTTTGTGGACATTTTTTGTTGTTCTTTTCAAACAAGGAAAGAAACAAAACTTTGGAGAAAAAAAAGTACACCAGGACTATGTTAGAACTTTCCTGTAAACTGGAAGAAACCTCCAACATGTGGTGGGACACACTGCCAAGATGGGCTGGTGCCTGCCTTCCAGCAGCTCAGGAGTGAAGCTCAGTGGCTCTGCAGATGGCCAGGACAGGAAGAGACCAAAGCTTAATTTTCCATGTTGCCTCACTTCTCCAAGAAGAGGCCACGTGGGTCACTAATAACTTTCACATGATGAAGCAGCATCCTGGGCAGATGCAGCATCCGGATCAGTTGGAAACTGTAAGCAATTGGGGCCCAATGAAGAGGCACACAGGCTGTTTGATTTATTTGACTAACATTGAAAACCTCACCCTGCTCCATCAGTACTAATTACCAACATCTGCTTAGATTCAAGGACTTGACTGGAAACAGCATCTCGACTCACTTCAGTGTTTGGCTAAATGACCCTCTTTCTATCTCAACATGTCCTGTTTTTGTTATAATCTACTGCAAGGTGTAAACAGCTTAAAGAAAAAAAAATGTGTCCAGCTTGGAAAGAGGGCATGCAGGAAGGCTCACATGTTTTCTTTCCACTTGGCTGGGTACCATTCTCTGAACTTTCTGCACTTCTATTTCATGGGTTACACCAGACTCTGAAAGTGGCCAGAAAACCTTAATGAAGGCCTCTGACATGGACTCTGCTTGTAAACAATATTCTGCTGTATGTGAGGGAAGGTGTCCTTGTTCTGATTTCAATCAGCCTTCCACACAGAAAAGTGTGGTGAGGGCCTTTCACATAGTCGTTTCCATATTCAAGGAGCCAGCCAGGAGATGCTAAGATTGCAGGCAATACACTACTGTATAGACAGAAGAGGATGAGCAAATGACCATGAAATGGGCTGGGGATGTGGCTCAGTGTTTGCCTAGTGTGAAACAGGCCCAGGATTCTACCCCCCAACTATGCAGAAGAGAAAGAAAAGAAATAGATGTAATACCTAAGGAATAAACACAGCCAATGACCACCTTCCTACCCTACACTGCCCAGGGACTATTTTGTTGCCCAGAATAAGCTAATTCAAGTTGGGCCATAACATGTACAAAAATCACCCATCTGGTTACCAAAATATCCCTACCGACCATCGGCACCTCCCGCTAGTTTCTAAAGACATAGGTGCACTTTCCATGTAACTTTGCTTGTCCACTCAAGTTAGCCCATAAAGTGTCCAAAGTAATCCTTAGTAAACATCACAAGTGCAATCATTTCAACCATCTATGCATTTGTGATGGAAGTCTAACTCAGATAACATTCCTTCTGGGGTAGACGCATTCTGCTTCAGGAAGTTGAGGATTAACTGGATAATCATGATGTAATATCATCACACAGTTACATAACTGCCACTAACTAGCCAAAGACACCCCCCCCAAAGTGTCGTCCCAACCCAGAGGTACAGGGGAATCATCTGCACATTAGTAGCAGAACTGATAACCTTCCTGATAAGACCCCACTAAGACCATGCTGTCTCAGGGGAAACTGCACACATGTCAGACTTGAGTACCTAAAAGTAACATGCTTTCCTAACCTGGACATATAGGACCATCCTTCAAACTCTGCTGTGGTCATTGCCTACAGAACTTCTCTGAGATGGCCTAGGTATTGCAGAGACATTTATTTGGCTTGGCTTCACATCCCCTTCCTCTTCCAGGCTGTTCTTCATATCTGAGTGTTTTGTTTTTTCTCTCTCCTGAGGCGCTGAGCCTACTGTCTAGCAACAGTTGGGTCTACATGTAGCAACACCTCTATATATTTGACCCCTATGGGTCTCAACATTCAGCACCCTAGGATTGTGCCATTGGCTCTGTATGGAAGCCTGGGGAACTCTTTGGTGTGTCACAACATAACTGTCTGACTGAAGAAAGGAGCAAGTGTATACTGCACTCTTATGCTAATGAGATTATAGCCTTTTTTGTAAAGCAACATCTTACTGGTAGGATCCAGGAAAGGGGTCAATTGTTTGCACACACTTCCAACTGGCTAAAATGGACAGAGGGATAGAGCAGACAGTGTCATAGGCACACAGGTCCCTGAAAGGGAGGCCAGAGAAACTCACCTTGGTGCTACATTGGTGAGGCTGATGAACTGCTTATGAGGATGTGACATAACGTCACTACATGGTCACTACACTTCAGACTACAGCATGCTGAGGCAGCTCAGTGCTTCCAGAAGGTACCCAGGCAAGAAAACACTACAATCAGCTGAGGCAGCCAAGACCCATGAAGATAGCAGGTGGAGGACCCAAGGTGATTGAAGGCTGAATACCCGTAACGAAAATCTCAAGTTGTGCTTTTCTTCTTCTTAAATACAATGGGGAGGGAAGGAAAACACGGAAGCACCATCGATTGGGAGGGACAGAACAAATATCGGAGTTAAACACTTTGGAATGTTAACAGACCATGACTCGAACTCTGCAGAGTGTGGCTAGGCAGCTTAGTGAATTAATTGCTTGTGAATTAAAAATAAATTATTATAAAATAGATTTCTGTACATTTTACATACATATACTCTTTCTCAATAGATAAGCCCCAAAGGGAGACTCAGTCCCAGCCAAAGTCGCGACCGGTCATCTGGTAGAACTTGCGGTTGAAGGGCCGGTAAAAGTCACGCAGCTGCCGCAGCACCTCCCGCGCGATGACAGGGTGCGCACGACCCTTGGTCTTGCCCAGGCAGTGTGGCTTGCCGCTGCCCTCCGCCTTCTTGAGGCACGGGGAAGCCCTTGGTCTGGTTGAAGTAAAAGTGTTTGTCGGTGATGATGCGTTTGAGGCCCAGGAAATCCTGCACGCGGCGCAGCTCACCCGCTGGGTCGCTGACCAGCCGCTCCCCGCTCACAAAGAGCATCTGGCCCAGAGGGAAGTGGCGCAGCCAGGGCTCCAGGTGCTTGGCGTACAAGCCGATCTGGATGGCACTCCAGGACGTGTCGATGAGGCCCGCGCTGCGGTTGCGGAACGTCAGGCTCTCGAAGCTGGGGATGTCCGGCCGCTTGGACAGAGTCTGCGTGTAGTCCGAAATGGCCCTGGTCACCGGGTCGCGCACCACCACGATGAGCTTGGTGTCCTTGGACATGGCTGAGATGCGCGCGGGTGCCTCCCGGGTCACAAAGTAGCTGGGCGTCTTCTCCATGGTGATCTGGCCTTCCAGGGTTCTGGGCATCAGGTCCCTGCCAAAGACAAAAAAACAATCTGGAGTCAGAAAATTGAGCTTCTTCAGCCTCCTCTCAATATCACAACTAACCTCGGTTCCCTCTTATAATTGGGGCCTTTTTTTTTTTTTCAAAACAAAAGTGAAACAGGACTTTAGAGGTGGGGTGCATTAATACGACCCCCAACCCCAGCCTTGGAGGCCAGATAGCTCCCACCTAAGAGAAATCATCTTCCTTCTAGGCAGAAGAACAAGGCCAATTTCTCTGAGGTGCTGGCTTGGGTGTCTCCTTAAGTTAACTCAAAGTATCCTATTTTCACAATGCCCCGCCCCTTCCCACACCTGATAGGTCTTCCTTCAGAAATGGCACTGTCCATCAGTCCTTCACATGTCCACCAAGGATGGTCTTGGGCACCAGAAATATAACTCGACAAAATGGCCAAAAAGCAACAAGCAGGTTTATCAAAAAACTCAATAAAAATCAGTATAATCAGACAGAAACATACCACTTGAAAATCTCAAGACACAATTTGAGAAGCTTCAAAAAAAAAAAAAAATCTTAGATTTCATTAGGGCAAAATAATTACAAGATATTTTACCAGAGTATTAATTTCACCCAAAGCACTAAATAACACCATTGGCACAGTATACGCAGGGTCAGGATATCTGGACTGAGTTTTTGCAATGGTAAATGATAATCATTTTGATGACATAAATCAGGGATGTAGCACCTTGGTTACAAGATGTGAAAACAAAAGGCAGATGAACTGGCAGCCATTTGTTGTAGTTTGTGTTATTCTGTGGATTCTGTTATGTGACCATGCAATGATTGCTCTGAAGCTGGGGGTGGGTGGAGCCAAGCCCTGGATCTGGATCCTGTCAGTCTACTTGAGGATATTTTCAGTAAATTAGATAAAGAAGCTCTAGGAAGTAAAACAGAGGGGAGGACATGCAGAGGGGAGGAAAGGAGTCAGGAAACTCTGGGTAAGGAGGATGGCAGATAAAAATGAAACTATGACAAGCAGATATGCCTATCGCTTAAGGTTCTGCAACATCTTTGCTGGTGGCAAACTGAAGGACAGAGAGAAAGAGAGGAGCTGGGTGACACATCCTCCTAGGATGAGATGTCCAGATGTATGGACAATTCTGAAAAGGCTCCCTAAAGGCAGAGGCCATGCCCTCCTAGCACCTTCAGGCGAGGGAGCGCGCGCGCACCACACACACACACACACACACACACACACACACACACACACACACGCACACAAAAATCCCTAGCATTTAGCGTGGTAAACATAATCACCCAAATGTCCAGTAAATAAACAGTAATGGGTAAATGGTCTTGCTGATATTGGTAAGGCCCAACTTATTAAAGGCAAACATTGGAGCTTTGTTTCCCAGTGTGAGTGAGCTGGACTGGGAACCCCTCTCTACTGCTTCACAGCCAGGAGATGAGTTATTTAACACCTCTGAGCTCTGGTACCCTAAAGTACAAAACAGGAATAATGCCATCTACCTTCTGAGTTGTCCAGAGAATTAAAGGAGGGTCTCAGAGCCACAGTGGTTTAGCTTAAGGCTTGAAGGCTATGGGTCTGGAGGTCAGGCTTAGGTTCAGCTCCTAGCTTTGCTGCTTGTTACCTTGAATGTCTTATTGTGTGCGGGGGGGGGGGGGGCGCGTTGTCTTCTCTTCATATGTGAAAATGGAGATAACAGTAGCTACCTCGTTGGGGACTTATGAGGATAGAAATAGTAATCAACATGCTTGGAGCATGCATGACATGCTTACCATGTCTGGCGCATGCCTGATACGATCGCTCTAACACCATCATTTAATATCCTCATGAACATGGTTCCTGCCAGTGTAGCTATATCAAAGGAGGTACGCTAAGTAACTAGGCACTAGATTTGGTCACAGATCTAAAGTCTCCTATTAGTTTTGAGGTAGAGATTCCGATTGATTTTTACCTGCCCACAAGGATGAAAAAAAGAGAGAGACAACTTTTACATCATATATATATATTTCCTTCTCAACAGAACATTCTAAATGTCAAATTTCAAGCCATCATACTGCATCCAGCAGTAATCACAGCACAATTTTAGAAATGATGGCACAAACTTTATTACATAGGCAGAAAGTTTTTGTTTGCTGGAGAACGCTGCTCCTTCCAGGACAAACTGCCTGGGAGTTCCACACCAGCACACTTCGCTTGGCCTAGAGGAAGTGCCTCACAGCCCCGCTGGGTGCTAAAGCCAGATTAACCCACTTTGCCCACTTAGTATAGGGTAGCGGTGCCATCAGGCTAAGGTAATCAAGGATTAAGGAGTCCCAGCTCTCAATTTACTCAGCCAATCTCTAAAAAGCAGGTCAGTTCAGACATGGGCCAGGTTTCTTCTCTGTGCTGAGCTGTCTGTAACTGGGAAGCTTTTAAGAAATCCAGACTCAAAATGAAAGCAAGATGGCCATACTGAGAGGCAATGGGAGTCATGGTTCCCCTCCCCACCCCCCTTCCCACAACTCACTGAGCAGAGCCTCTGGGGATGGGAGGACCTAGGGTTATTTCTGTCTTCAGAGATTCACTCTGACCTGGCATAGTATTTGAAGTCTAGTCCTGGTGTAGCTCTCAAGACCACAGTGTAATGAAGTGTGTGTAACCCTGGATGGGTGACTTGCCCATCCATGTGACAGCTTCCTCAGCTGAACATTGACAGCTCATATAGGTGTTTAGGAAACTGGGAAGCTGACCTTGATACCTAGACTGCTACCTCACTGGCACTAGGAAAATGCTACCCATCACCTTCAGCCAGGATTGTGCAGAGTGGAAAACTGCAGGCAGAGTACTGGTCACTCAGCCAGCTCTACCCACAGACAGCAATGGATACAAGGATCTGCTCCCAGTCTGCCTGGCTCCACAGCATCCCTAAGGAGGGCCCGGTGGTAAGTGAACAAAATGTTCCAATTGTCATTTGTAAATAGGAAGCCATATAGTGGGAGTAATAAAAAGGAATAGTGGATTTGTTACAAAATCCCTGAGTTATAGCATGTCCTGCTAGAGCATTAGGGGACACTGACTACAGAAAACCTTGTCTCCAGACATGCCTCATAGGATGCTCCTCAGACTACAGGACTTTTAGAGTTGTTAAAGTAAGGAGCCAGGAGACCTCCTTCTGTGACTGTGATACCCAATCCCTGCTGTGATGGCATTTGAGGCTGCTCTCCCCAATGGATTTAATGAAGACAGTTGGTAGTCGGAAGTGAGTGTGTATCTGGGTTCCCCCCCTACTAAGTGCTTCCAGAACCCCCTCTGCAGACTTCAAGCCCGTCTATATCAGTCAGGCCTTAGGGATCTGACAGACCTGGCATTGATCTCCACACACACAGCTACAGGTGGGCCTAAGGGAAGGCTCAGAGGCCTGACTCAAACTTAGTCAAGCACTGAACCTTTCTTACACCACGCAGAGAACAGAGCACCACCTAAGAATATGAAGAACTCCTTCCATGGAACTTTCCAGGGGCTTACAGAAAAGTGCTTTCCTTCTTCTTGGAGCAGTCCTTTTTCCTACACCCAACCCCTCCAGCAGGTTCTGAAGTCAGGTTCTTCCCATGCATCACACACATGCACACAAACCCAAGTACATTCACCCACATGTACATACATACACACACACACACACACACACACACACACACACACACACACACCTCCCACAACCTGAGCTCAAACGTGGGTCAGAGGAGAAAGGATAAACTGGCAGCCAAGGGCAAGACCATCCCTCTTGAGTAGGCTGCCTGCTCACCCCAGGCATCCTAGAGGCCACTGCAGCCCCAGACTGGCCCCCACAGAAGCACATCCCATGGAGTAATTGAGCTGTTCATTACGAAAGCCAGTTTCTCAAATGGATAGTCACAGCTAATAATTATGCTGTGCTTTGGAGGCTCACAAAGGAACTTTCACATGCATTATCTGATTTAATCCCTCACCACAGGCCTTTGAGGTAGGTATTGTAATCCCCAATTTACTTATGAAGAAGCAGAGTCTAAAGCAGAGAAGGTGATGTGGGGGTCACAGTGCAGGGACTGTTGGTACACCCCATTCCACCCATCCCATGTCTCCCTTTCAATAATCCTTGTGTCTGAACAAGACTGAGAATGCACAGAGCTTGGAGTGTCTCTCTCTTAGATACCTGTGTGTTCGTAGATTAAATACCTCTGGTGCATAGATTAGAATCTTAATGGCAGATACTTAAGTCCCAATCAGACCACTGCTGATCATAATTGTTCAAATAGGAGTCGGATTTCGAAACAATAAGCCTCTTTGGCTCACATATCCCCATTGTTACGTGCATTTTATGGTGCCTGAAAAATCACCAGTGGTTCAACAGCCCCTGCCCTCCAGCACCCCTGGCTCAGGCCCTCCTTTGCTGCTTGCCACCTGGGTGGGAAAGCATCAATGAAGCAATGCTTGCAAAGTTAACAGCACAGATATCTCAGTCTAAGGCTAAGAAAGAGATACTAGCCATACCACACTCAGAAAAGCCTCTTAGGATGGCCTGGGAGACACTGTCTTGGCATGTGTGCATGGAGACAAAGTGACAGACAGCAAAAAGGATCCACTCCTTCAGTAAAACCTGCAGAGCAAGGCAGGCTTGTCACCCTATCTTAAAGCCTAGAGATGCCCAGGAATTCCCAGGAATACAGGTAGCCTGCAAGAGCTGGATCTCAAAGCAGTATGCTACAGGCTAGGTGGGCTTAGAGGGGCATGGGCTTTGAATTCGTGAAAATCTTTACAAGGAAGTCATGTGTATCTTATTGCTGGCCAGGTTCTCTTCTAGGTACACATCAGAACTACGGCGGGTACTTTAACAAGGTAAATGCCTGGGTTCCACCCACACAGAACTAAATGAACCAGGCCCTGGCTGGGCAAGACTCCAGCATGGGACTATTTGATGATTCTCCTGTACAGACAGGATGGGGCACCTGTGGCCTTGAACTCTATCATGCACTTTGGTCCCCACTCCCCC